TACTAAAAAATACAAAAAACTAGCCGGGCGAGATGGCGGGCACCTGTAGTCCCAGCTACTCGGGAGGCTGAGGCAGGAGAATGGCATAAACCTGGGAGGCGGAGCTTGCAGTGAGCTGAGATCTGGCCACTGCACTCCAGCCTAGGCGACAGAGTGAGACTCCGTCTCAAAAAAAAAAAAAAAAGAAAAAAAGAAACCCCCAAAGTTATGGTGCCTACAGTGTCTTGGAAATTTGAAGAGCCCTTGGTGGTATACTTGTGCTTCTGAAATCTTGCCTCACCTCTTCTGCAACACTTAACATTTTGGTTATTTAGTTCCCTTAAAATAGAAGCATACAGGAACCTGCACTTTTAACAAAAACCTTGGGCAGTTCTATCACAGGCTATCCACTCATGTATACCTGGAATTCATAGGTGGTACCTTTTCCTCCATCAGGGTGAATGGCATCTATATTAGGAAGATTCCAAGTACAGTGAAAATGTTTTTATTTAACATGCAGCAAAACAAGGGCAGCAGAGTTGGTATATCCAGTACAGCCATTTGCCACGAAGCATTGACCTCAATAGTAACGAGTAACACTCAAATAACTGTAATGTCTAGAGCGTAATAGAAAGTTCTATTTCCACAGAGTAATTCCAGACATTCCCAGGGCTGCAGCAGCCAGTCTCTGGAAAGCTCTTGGGTTTATTCTTTAGTGAAAAATGATTCACTTTTGACCTGTCCTGTTCTAATGAAGCAGTGAAACCTGCTTGCTAAAGACAGCGAGGGGCAGGGAAGGAATATGACCTCTTGATCCATAGGAAGGAATAAGGAAGCCTGGCAAGGGGCAGGGAGGAACCAGGGAATGTGGTCTGTGCCACCTTCCTTTCCCCCAGAGATGTCCGATTGCTGAGCTTGTTCATCTGAGCTCTGCAAGCTTCCCCGTGTCTATGGCAGCTGGTGATTGTTTTCTATTTTTTTTTTTTTTTTTGTGAGGGAGGCTTGGAATCCCTGTCCCAGGATCACATCCAGCAGCCAGAGTGGCCAGGACAAGCTGGCTGGGGCCAAGCACTGTTGAAGCAATAGGGTCTGGTGACTCGGCTCATGTGTGGCCCCTGATCTCATCACCTCCAGACCCAGCATTTCGCTGACAGCGCCCCTCAGGAGCTGGGGAACAGTCGAGGTTTCTGGGCAGCACATTAGGACATACGTCTAGTGTAACATTTGTGATCCTGAGGCCTCCTGTGTCCAGCCACAGGTGCCACACCACATGCCATCTGGTGAGAGGAGAGGGAGGCCAAAGCAGTAGGACGCAGAGTAGCGGGAGATTGTAAGGGGAGGATAGCAGTTTATTTCATGCCAAGCAAGAGGTAGTCAGTAGGATGGCCTGTCCCCACGGCTGGAGGCACGCTTTTCCCAGAAAGCTGAGTACCTGCTTCTGGAGAAGGGGAAACACTGGCTCTCTTCATTTTCCTTCCTATCCCTAGTTGGGCCTGTCATGAGGCCAAATTCCATGTCCTGCCAAGATGTCCATAGGACACAGCCTGCCACTGCCAGGGATAAGCACACAACTCCTTACTCCGTGGCCATTCCAGGATGATGCTGTCCACCAGAGGCAGGGCTGGGGACTTTGCAGTATACCAGTTCCTTATTCTGGGCCAGGTATCTTCCTGGGCCACTGAGCTTGGCCCACCTCCCTGGGGATGGCAGCAGGAGCTGCCTGGCAGGGGAAGCATGGAATTGCAAAAGGGCTGCGGCCCCTTGGGCCGTGCATCTGTCAGGTGTGAGGATGTGGCTCTTGTGGGGAGTGAGCCGTGACAGCCTCCCTTTAGAGTCTCCCACCCCCACCCCGGTGGCTTCAGTGAATGCCAGTAGAAAGAAGAAAACACCTACGCCAAGCCTGGGGTCCATGTTCCCGGGACAGCAGTGAAGTCAGGGGCCACTCCCCACCCCTGACAGCATATGGCCACTTCAAGTCACACAGGTAGATAAAAACAGGTCCTTTTAGGGGCCAAAGGAGAGGTTACCACAGCAGCAGTTTGGTTCCCAGCAGAAATGCCCAGGGCCCCTGTTCCACATCAAAGCTACAAGCACTGTCGTCAGGGCATGGAGAGTGATGGGACCAGAGCCCTCCCGGTCTCAGGGCAGCCTGCCTGGCTTCAAGGTGGAGATCACAGCATCCTCTGGGGTCATAGGTTCCCCCATTGCTCCACAGGAGGGAACTGGTCCACCTCGCCCACCTCTGTGCTCAGCTGCTCCCCCAGGGCGAAGGTCAGCTTATACCGAAGCCGCACCTTCTCCTGTGACAGAGGGCAGCAAGTGAGATCCAGCCTGGGCGGCCCCTCAGCAGGACGCCCTCTACTTTGCTACCCTCTCTGTGCTATAGGAATGGTCCCTTTTCCCCACAACCCCCAACCATGCTCAGCTGCTTAACCTGAGGCAGCAAAGGGATGTGTCAATCCTACAGTCAAAACACTTCCGGCTGGGAGGTGGTGGTCCTGAGGTCCTAATCTGGGGCAGCTGGGGCCTCAGGCTGGGACCCCGGGTGCTTTGCTGCTCACCTTCAGTGGATTGGCCAGCAACATGACCTGGGTGATGGCTGCCGGTGGCTGGATGGGGCTGAATGGAGAGAGTTCTGTCCCAGAGGGTGGCTGCAACTTCACTTTCATTGACTAAAGAGAGAAGCTCCTTTGAAGACAGCTGGCAGGTGCCCCAGATGGAACCCACAGTGCACATACACACTGCCATCTGCTGGCTGCAAAGGCCTCCACACAATAGGGTCAAGCTAAAGCCGTTTTGGCCCCAGGGAGACACTAGTACCTTGGGCACTGCAGCCTGCAGCACGATGCTCTTGACAGGCAAGGGAGCTGTGTTCAGCATGGACACCACCACCACCAGTACGTCAGGTCGTCCTGGGGGACACTCCTTGGCAAAGTGGAAGAGGATGCGGAAGCCGTTTTTATCATAGGCTGTGACGGGAAGGGCACTGCCTGCAAGAACGTGGCACGTGGGTGTGGGAGGAGCAGCACCAGAGACACCCAACAGAGCCCTGGCGGTGAGGGGACAAAGGCTACTCCGTGGCCGTGATGAATCCAATGCTTCCTTATGGAATCTGGGAGGGGCGCTCAGTGAGGAGCTTAAGGCCAAGAATGCAGGCAAGGAGGACTGCCTGGCTCCAAGGGACCCCCTGCAAACAGTGCCTGGATCCACCCGTCGCATGTCCTACAGCTCTGTGGCTGTAGGCCCCACTGCCCTGCCCACCTCAAGCCTCCAACACCTACTAGGCTTGATCGATTCCAGGGGCACGTGGATGCTGGCAAGGGAGAGCTCAGGCCCCTTCAGGGGGCTGCCCTGGGACTGGAAACTCAGCGGCTGGAAGAGTGGGCTGCCGGGCGCCGTGGAGAAGGGCAGGAGAGGCCTGGCTGGGGTGGTGGTGGAGATGAGAGGAGAGGTGGCAGGTTTCACCAAGCCTGAGGTCCTGGGAGGTGGGAAGGATGGAAGGCACATCAGAGAGGCAGCCAGAGCTGGACTGACCCTCACCCAAGGCCCCTGGCCATGCTCTTACCCAGGCCCACCCCTTGCCTTCCAGCCTGACTGATGGGACTACAAGGCACCCCCACCCCTTCAAAGTTAGCTCTGGTTCTGACACATTCAGGCCCAACCCCACATCTCCTCCCACTCATTACACTTTGGCCTCTTCTAGAAGCTGATCGAGGGCATCCAGGTGGTGCAACACGCTGTCGCCCAATGCCAAGCCATGGTGCCCAGGGACTGCAGGCTCAACTTTTGGGGCCAAAGCTGGGGCCACTCCAGTAGAAAACAAGAAGGAGCCCGCACTGGGGGCAGGAACACTGGCTGGGACCACAGGAGCTGGGAAGGGAGGCGGCAGTGGAGCTTGGGAGCTGCTTGAGGAGGGGGCCGAAGGCTGGAGAAGAGGAGCGTCGGAGGCGCCACAGGCAGCGGTCCCCGGCCTGGGGCTGAAGAAGTCCAGGTCGGACTGTTCCCTCTATGAGCAATGGAAAAGGTGGTGAGCCGAGGGCTGGCGGGGAGGGGCTGGCGGGGAGGGCCTGCCGCTGGAGCGGGGCACAGCCCTCCAAGGACCGCACGGAAGACAGACCCGGAAACACTCATTGTTCCCCGCTGCAGCTGGCAGGCTCTGGAGGGAAAGGACAGCTAACTGTAGCCCAGGAGACATGACACGGGAAAGTGGAGGTCCTTGGCACAGTAGTGCTGTCACCCATCCTGTGCCCCTACCTGGAGTAGGTGCCACTGGCTGTTCCCAGCTGACTCTTTGGGAGGGACATTAGGGGCTGGGTCGGCGAGGCCTGACAACAGAGAAGAAAACTGGATGAGAAGAGACTGAACTGGGCAGCCCTAGCCCCGCCTTGCCTAGTCAGGTGACAAGTGACATCAGTGGGTGAAGGCACAGGGAGAAGCTGTTCTGCAGGCAGCCTCCAGAGGGGAATGGAGCCCTCCAGTCCATGATGCAGAAGTGGGGGGTTTGTGGAACGGGGTGCAGGGCAGGAGGCAGAGTCCACCGGGAGGATGGCTGTGGGGCCCTCAGGGTTGCTGAACTTCACTGACTACCTACAACTCAGGGCTCTTTGCCCACCTCAACAGTCACACTGGGGCCCCGTTCAGGACTCCTCCTAATTCCACACACCCTTCTTCCTCCCGGAGCCCTGTCAGGGGATGGACAGTCCCCTGCGGGTCGTACCCAAGCAGAGCAGCTCCTCGTCCAGCAAGGAGAGGGCGTTGCTTGTGCTGTTGGGCCCCGGGGTGGCCTCGGCCTGGCTAGAGGAGCGGCTACGTGGAGGTCCTGAAGCCTGGGGTGGTGGAGGGAGGATCGGGATGCCCGAGGAGGGTGGAGTGGGTGCTGGGGCCAACACGGAGGACAAACTGTTCGTCGTGTCCAGCTCGGCAAGGTCGATGAGCGTGCCTTGCTTACTGCACTGACTGTTTCCTGGATGGGTCAACAGAGTGGAACAGGAATAATTAGCGGTCTTCTAGTGGCTGTGTGGCAGGAGGCAGCACCCTAGGCACAGTGGTTACTGCTCCAGCCTCTGGTCTAATCCAATGGCATCTCTGCCAGGGGATGCTGTAAAGCAAGCCTGAGAAAGCAGGCGGGGAAATTCCCACCCACATCTCCAGGCCTCCGGGAAGCTGAAGGACTGCTTGGAATGGCAGAGAACCCCCTTGGGCCTCGTGCAACACCACGCTGGCCAGCCTACACCCGCAGCTTCATGGTCGTGACCTGAGGCTGGTCTGGAGGAGTCTAGAGTTGGGGACCAGAGCATCTCACCTTCTGAGTCAGGCAGGGTTAAGGTGGCCACCTCGCCATTGATGACCTGCCCTTCAATAATTGTTTTGTAAGAGTTGATGACCCGGGAGAGGTTGTCACTGGCCTGCAGGATGTCCCCTGGAGCAGGAAAGAGAGACTTCTCACTCCTGTTGTGACAGTTCCCACCCACGTATCTAAACGCCTGGCTCATCCCTGACAGTTGCTCTTTCACTCACCCAAACTGTTATCATTGTCCTCAGTCTCACTGGCGAGTTTAAATAAAGTCCGCCTCTTGTTCTCACACCGATCAAACAGCTCCTGAAAGAGACTCAAGACATAAAAATCAAACCACACAGGCCCTTAGAGATCATCTGATTCATTCAGGGTTCACACCCAGAAAATGACGGGGATCTGCCAGTTGCCATGGTCAGTTACCAGCAGAGCTGGGACCACAGCGCACGTCTTCTTGCCACCAGCCACCACCACACCATGTCACCCAGAGTGTTGGTTTAGGTAGCAGTCACCAGGATGGATGAGGGGAAGTCAGTCCCCTCCTGCCTTCCAGGCTGGCATGCTCCTCAGAACTCAAAATATCCACCCAACCATGGCCCGCACCATATGGGCATCAGGGTCACAAGGAAGCCTCTCTGTCTCAACGTCCCCAAAGCAGTAAGGAAAGGCAGAGAGCAGGGGTGAGCACCGAGGGCGTGGTCTCTGGAGTCAGACTCAGGTTTCCATTCAGCCCTTACACCCTGGGCAAATCAGCTGATCCCAGGCAGCAAATGGGGACGCCACTCTCTACTGACGTGGCTGCTGTGCAGATGAGTGAGGTCATGAATACGCTGCCAAGTGCACAGCCTGTGTCTCTGACAAGGCAGGTGCTCAGCAAATGCTGGCTGAGCTTCTGGAGGGCAGCGTAGCCCCGGGAGGCAGCCTTTGCCGTCGACGGTCCCACCTTCATCAGCTCTCTGTCCCCGTCCGAAGAGTCCTCCTGGCTGTAATGAAGCAGCATCTCATTGAGCAGTCTCACGTTGTTGTTAACTTCCTCTAACGTGTGCAGACGCTTGGTCACCTTCTGGATCCGTGCCTCATCCTGCCCCAATTAAGAAGATCAGGAGAAAGAGAGCTTCACTTGACTGTCTTTCCACTTCCGCCAGGTCATACCTTACCCCACGACACAAGCGCAGAGGCACGGAAGCTCCTTCCAGTGTTGGGTGCCTGGGGCCCAGTCTACACTTCTGCTTTCACATCCCTGCTCCCGTCCCACTCCTCTCTTCCGTGCTCCCGTGGAAGCTATTGTGCTCCTCCTCCCACTCTCAGCCTCCAGGGCACAGGTAGGGCAGCTGGCAGCAGGGGAGAACAAAACAGGCCGTGTCCAGGGGCAAAGAGGCTTCTGCTGTGTGGTCATGGGTTCCTCCACCCCGTGCCTGAAGGACCCACTCACTTCCTTCACCATGGACTTGATGAGCTTGTTGGCCTCTTGCAGGTCATCTGGGTTCTTGCTTTTCAGCAGCTTGGCTAAAAGCTGAGAGAGGAGGAAATCAGAGGTGAAGGGAAGAGGTAGCATCCCTACCCCGGGGAGACCCCAGAGAGCTCCCCGCAGCACAGTGCAAACCACATTCCCCTGGTGCTACCCCCTCTCATCTGAGAAAATCCCAGGCCCAGGGTGCTCTTTACCTTAGACTTCTCCTCATCATCAAAAACAGGGTTTTTGGGACGAGGTGGTGGAGAGGGGATCAGCGTCCTGTCCACAGGAATTGGCGGATCAGACTGCACTATGCCTGAAAGGGGACATGGCAGCGTGTGCACTCAGGCTGTGGTCACCTTGTCACCCCTCCTCATACACCAAGGGCCATGTCCCTGTGATCAAGACCTGCAAAGGGTAGTGGGGTGGAGGGCAGGCTGCTACACCTTATCCCATCCAACCCGACTCAGCCTTGCCTGGGGACAAATGCTGTTCGCTTCAGGAGGGACTCTGGGGATCCCAAACCTTCCCTTCTCTCCTTGCCTGGGCCAGCCTTCGAGGGCTGCCTGGAGGCTGTGGGCAGGCAGACACGTACCCTGTCTCTTCAGCATGTGGTAGGCGTCTTTGATCTTTGCTTCTTCTGGCAGGGCCATGGTCCAGCTGTATAGCAGCTCAATAACCTTGGTCTTCACTTTCTCAGACACCCTGTCCCCCAGGTACTACACGGCAAGAGAACATGAGAGGACCTAGTAACTGCAGTGTTGAGGCAGAGAAACTGTAAGGTTCCCTTCACAGCAATGGCATGGCTGCTCAGCAGCTACGGTCCTACTCAAAACCCACAGGTGTCCAAGTGTGTGTGAGACAGCGTGGGGAGGGGAAGGACCTCCCTGTGGTGTGGTTGTGTCCACCTGGATACAGTCTGTGGATAGGCAGGGGGCCAGGAGGTCATCACTGCATTTTCACACACAAGTTGCCAGAAACAAACTGCATTTTATCTTGAGGGTGTTTATGAGAATGTCTTTAGCCTGAAAAAGTATTCCCTCTGCTTTAAGTGGGGGCCCAGAGCTGTGCCACACCAGCGTGCAACAGAACATGGCCAGCTGAGCATCGGAGCAATGACGGAGGCCAGCTCCTCTTATCCACGTGAGACAGGCCAAGAAAACCCACAAAACCCACAACTGCCGTGTGCCAGGAGCCTAGAGTCCCATACTACATGGGCCCTCACCTTGGACAAACACACAGCCACTGCCACATCACCTGTCAGATTTGGGTTGTGGGTGCTTCAGAAAAAGCTGCTAGTCCCTGTGGCCTGTTTGGTCATCCCGTTACCTCCAGGGCCTAGCTCTCTAAGGACAAGACACGAATAATCTCAGTTCCTTGGAGATGCTGGATGGGCAGTGAAAGCCAGTATGATGGGAGATGGAAATGAACACAAAAGAAGTCCCTAAGAGCGAGGAATCCGCCGCTGACTGACCTTTGGAGAGACGACTTTGATTAACTCATTCAAAAAGCGGAACTTCCCCACTTCGTTATGAAATCTCCTCCCACAGTTCTTCATGCACGCCTCCAGCACCTGTAGCCGCAGAGAGAGGCGCTGAGTGAGGGTGCGCTCGGGGCTGGGACCTGGCACTGGCAAGACCCCTGGCACCCAGAGAGTGCTGAATAAACACGCCCACAGGAAGGAGCTCATCACAAAAAGCGGTGTGCACTGCCTGGGGACAGTGCAATTAAGCAATGGGATCGCCCACAGACCACGTCCCTCCAACTGCAAACCTCTGCTGGGAAAGCTGGGCAGGGACTAAAGCAAGAAACCCCGAGAACCCGACCCCAAGGCGGCCTGGATGCCAGTCCTGGAAGGTGCCCTCCTTAAAGATTCTGGCCTTGTGTTTTACAATGAGGGAGGTGAGGTCCAGGGACAAAGTTTCTCTGACTCGGTGTCCCGGGTGCTTTCCACAAGCTCACCAAGAGTTGTGCAGGGGGTGGGAGGGATGTTTACATCCTGTTATCTTTGAGAAAGATGACAGCGTATTTTACCTCCCTCCACTGATCTCCCTAACTTACGCTGCGGCTTTCCTGTGCTGCCTGTGGTCCCTGGCACTGCGGTTTCTAAGGCAGGGTGGGGTGCACTGTCCATGCTCCCTTTCTTGGCTTCTGCATTTAAAGCAGGGTTTCTCAGATGAGGCCTGGCTGACACTTTGGGCTGCTCATTCTTTGTCATGGGGGGCCACTCTGCACTTTATAGTGTGTTGAGCAGCATCCTTGGCCTCTGCCTACTTGATGCCAGGAGGACCCCTACCCCAACGTGTGACAACTAAAAATGTTTCCAGACATTGCTAAATGTTCCCTGGAGGGCCCTGTTGAGATTCACTGGTTTGTGTTTTTTTTTTTTTTTTTTGAGACAGAGTCTCGCTATGTTAGGCTAGAGTGCAGTGGTGTGATCACTTTAGCCTCAACTTCCCAGGCCCAAGCCATCCTCCAACCTCAGCCTCCCGAGAAGCTGGGACCACAGGTGTGTGCCACCATGCTTGGCTAATTTTTTTATTTTTTGTAGAGACAGGGTCTCACTATGTTGCCTAGGCTGGTCTTGAATTCCCTTAAGCAATCCTCCCGGCCTAGGCCCCAAAAAGTGCTGGGACTATAGGTACAAGCCACCATGCCCCGCTGAGAATCACTGTTTTAAGAAATTCGTTCTACAGCAAACACGACTGAGGGGAGCATGTGAGCTAGATGATATTTCTTTTCTCTTTCCAGGACCCGAACGCAGTAGGGTTAAAGCCACGGATTCCTCAGATCTCAGCTGCTCTTTGGTTTAGGAGCATGTGGAGGCAGAGGGCCAGGCACCATTCCACGCCTTAAATTCCCTCAGTCTGAATAGACACCAAGATCTGCCCCAGGGGACTCAGCCATCAGTGCGACACCTTCGCTAGTGACCGGCATTATGTTTAACTACAGAATGAATGGACTCACCTCTCTTTTCTTCCCCCGGCCAACTCTGAACTATCAACACAGCCCTGTCAGCATCTCTTCACAAAGGCTTCTCCTGCCCCACATGAGGCTCAGGGCCTTGACTCTGTGCTGATTTCCTTAGCCCCTCTGCCTCACACACTAACCATGTGGCTGTGCTGGCAGGGATGGCACTGCAGTCACCTAACTGCAGTTAAGGAGATCAGCGGAGGGAGGAGAAATACGCTGTCATCTTTCTCAAAGATAACAGGATGTAAACATCCCTCCCACCCCCTGCACAACTGTTGGTGAGCTTGTGGAAAGCACCCAGGACACCGAGTCAGAGAAACTTTGTCCCTGGGCCTGGCATAACGCACACACATTTGTGGAACGGCTGGCTGAACAGATTCTAGATCTATCTAGTCTGTATCAAGGACTTTCTGTTGGCTTTTGGGATGAGCCCTTAGAACCACTATGGGGGCATGAGGAATGGCGGGGGCATGAGGAATGGCGTAGGCAGGTGAAGGGCTGCAGGTTCCACGTCCAGAGAGTGAAGGACCTACTGTCAGGGCCTGGAGTGCCTCCCATTCCTGCGGGGACTGGATCTTGTGGGCCAGCAGTCGGACGGCGATCTGTGGCCTGGGGGACAAGCAGAACACACTTCAGTGCACTAAGCCTGGGGCTACCTGGCTGGCCCTCCTTGGCCATGGTTGTTCCCCTTCCCAGTCCGCTCCCTCAGCTGCCCCCACAGTGCTGAGACTCACCCTTCGAGCTCCTTGTTGATCTGATCGCAGAAGCCAATTATGTATTCCCAGTCCTCCTGGCGGTTGGAAGGATTGGTGGCTTTATCTTGGGACAGAACAAAGAAGAAAACAAGTGTTAGGAAGAGCAAGGAGGATGCAATGGAAGGTTTTCTTCGCAAGTTTTAGGCACTAAGAGTTTGCTTTCAACTTTACTCTATAATACAGAAGCCTCAACAGTTCAGTCAGTAGCAAGGAGAAAGGAAAAAAAAAAGGGTCAGTCGGACAGCAAATACAAATACTGCTTTCTGATCAGTATTTTGAAAGCCACAAATAAAAGAGAAAACAAATTCTGTCTCGTGAAGCTTAGAGTGGATCAAGGTCAAAAGGACAAACACAAATAATTAAAATATTCCCAAATAAATGCCTACATAAAACATGTAAATATAATAATAAAGGGAATATAAATATAATAATAAAGGGAACTCCAGCTGTATACAAATGAGCTCAGTGTTAAGCAAGTGGAGATGGTCAGGAAGGGTTTGTGGGGAAACTGAAATCAAATTGAACTAGATAAAAAATATACATATTTATAACCATTGAATATTTTTTTTTGACAGAGTCTCACTCTTGTCGCCCAGGCTGGAGTACAGTGGCGCAATCTCAGCTCACTGCAACCTCTGCCTCCCGGGTTCAAGTGATTCTCCTGCCTTAGCCCCCCAAGTAGCTGGGACTACAGGTGCGTACCACCATGCCCGACTAATTTTGTGTTTTTAGTAGAGACGGGGTTTCTCCATGTTGGTCAGGCTGGTCTCGATCTCTCGACCTCAGGTGATCTGCCCACCTTGGCCTCCCAAAGTGCTGGGATTACAGGCGTGAGCCATCGCGCCAGGCGCATATTTTCCACATACCTGTCAAAAGGTTTTTCCAGACCTAGCCTTCCATAATGCTTTAAGTACTTTTGAAATTGCACATAATGCTCATCACTGTCAAGTCAACAACATTTACTTAGCCCCTACTAAGCCCCGGTCACTGTGCAATCTCCCTGGGATTGCAGCTTGAGTATCTAGCACCCCCAGGCTCTAATGGCCTTCCATGGTCAAGCACAAACATAAGTACTAGAGTTCTCAGAGGGCCACTGGGATTTAAAATCTAGGCAGTAAATGCAAAGTTCCGATATTTGGTATGGGCTCTCCTCCCTGTTACCTTCCCAAACCTGTGATTACACTGAAGAGCCCTGCTGACGGTGGCTACATGGGTTCCCATCTCTGATTCAGATCCAGAGGCTCCCTCTTCAGAAAGCACTCTCCAGCTGTTTGCTAAATTTAGGGCTTTGGGTTCCGAAGACAAATGGAAGGCTGAAGACACACACCCTTTGAAACACTCCTGCTCCCAGCTGGGTGCAGTGTCTCACGCCTGGGAGCCACTTTGGGAGGCCGAGGTGAGCAGATCGTGAGGTCAGGAGATCAAGACCATCCTGGCGAATACGGTGAAACCCCGTCTCTACTAAAAATACAAAAAAATTAGCCAGGTGTGGTGGTGGGCGCCTGCAGTCCCAGCTACTAGGGAGGCTGAGGCAGGAGAATGGCGTGAACCTGGGGGGCGGAGTCTGCTGTGAGCCGAGATCGCGCCATTGCACTCCAGCCTGGGTGATAGAGGGAGCCTCTGTCTCAAAAAACAAACAAACAAACAAACAAAAAAACCCAAAACACTCCTGCTCCCTCCCCAGATCTCCATGAAGGCCCAAGGCAGGGCGTCAGAGCCCCTCCCGACAAGCCCCTCCTTGTCAGAAGTTTCTAAATTCTCATTTCTCATAATTGTGTTTTGTTAACTTTAAAAATCACCAGCTGGGCTGGGTGCAGTGGCTCACGCCTGTAATCCCAACATTTTGGGAGAACGAGGCAGGCAGATCACCTGAGGTCAGGAGTTCAAGACCAGCCTGACCAACATGGAGAAACCCTGTCACTACTAAAAATACAAAATTAACTGGTGGGCAACAAGAGTGAAAATTCCGTCTTAAAAAAAAAAAAAAATCACCAGCTGGATGAGCAAATCCTAACAGAGACTCCAGCTCCTTCACTGGGAACAGGGCTGCAGGGATCTGAGTAGAGACAGCTGCCAGGCAGAGGGAAGGCCCATGGCAGCCAGTGTAGCACCCTGCTTCCCAGGTCCGGGCTCGGCCTCCCCGGCAGTGTTTCTGTTCTGGCTGCAATGGCTGCGAGGGGAAGATTCTGATGGTTTAGATTCATATTTATTTATTTATTTTTTGAGATTGAGTCTCACTGTATCACCCAGGCTGGAGTGCAGTGGCGCGATCTGGGCTCACTGCCACCTCCGCTTCCTGGGTTCGAGCTATTCTCCTGCCTCAGCCTCCTGAGTAGCTGGGATTATAGGCATGCGCCACTACGCCTGGCTACTTTTTGTATTTTTAGTAGAGATGGGTTTTCGCCATGTTGGCCAGGCTGGTCTAGACCTCCTGACCTCAGGTAAGGAGGTCAAGACCAGCCCCAGCCTCCCTGTAATCCCTCCCAATGCTGGGATTACAGGCGTGAGCCACCGCACCCTGCCTAGGTTTCTATTTAGAAGAAAAGAAGGTGTCTGTCTTCAATCTTGAAAGAGAATCAGTAGGTCCTTCAAAATCTCGAGCTTGAAAGGAGGGGAGTTGAATGTAATCAAGGGTGGCCATCTGGAAAGAAATGTCTGGCAATCCTGCATTACTGTACGGTAGCCTACCAGCTCTCACATTCCAAATGCTGAGTCTCTCCCACCAATTGTCTGAAACCTTCTCAGGTGTTAGCATTAGTGTGGCTCTGTTACTAATTCCTATCGGGTGCTTAAAGTTCTCCGTAACACCAAAAGGCTGCAGGCTACAAAAATTAAATGGTCTGAGGAGCCGTCCCCATCCCCCAGTGCTATTATTTTGGGAACCGTCATACACCTTGTGATAGAAGAAAAATTGGCCCACTCCCACTTTTTGCACGGGGAAAAGCATCTTCCAAGTACAGAGTAAAATGTGGATCCCCCCACTCCCGAAGCAATGGGTATTCACCACAAAATATCTTCTTCCCAAGCCTACTAGTGTTCCAACAGCATTTCTACTTCCAAGAACACTCCTGCCCACTTTTCACTCGTATTAATTTCTCTAGAATCTCACTTTCTTCCACCTTGATAGACCTTTTTATGGCAAATCCACAGGGAGCTCTTTGCCTACTCAGGGGCACAAAAAGCCCTGGTTTCTGCAGCGGTCAGTTCCATATCTATCTCCTCCAGCTCTCTGGGCAGCTCAGAAAGCAGAGCTCACCCGCCCACAGGAATGGGAAGGAACCTCTGGGGATAATTCTGGGTGACTTGATCTCTCCATCTGTCTACTGCCTCCCCAGCAGATGCACACAGCCTTCTACCCACTCAACATTTCCTTCACCTGGCACGGAGGTGACACCCGAGCTTCCCCTACAGACCTTGCCTTCCCGAACCGCCCCTCTGGGCTCCGCTCTGACTCATGATTTCTGTCTATTTTCGGGCCTCTGTTGAAAGCCTCATCTGTTTCTGTGTCTCTGGATTTCCTGCTTTCATTTTTTCAGCTTCACTCCATTGCTAGCCTAGACTCTCGTGGGATTTAAAACGTCATGTGGCGATGGAAACAGCAGCATTGGGTACCCCATTCCAGCATGGCTCAGACATTCCAGAGAAAACAAGATCTACATAGCAGGCTGGATGTGGTGGCTCATGCCTGTAATCCCTGCACTTTGGGAGACCAAGGCAGGTAGATCATTTGAGGTCAGGAGTTCGAGACCAGCCTATACAACATGGTGAAATCCTGT